ATCTAACAGCTTGGTTCCTGCTCCCCCCACCCCTTGACACTGACTTCAAGTTTCCTTCAGAGCACGAGCTGGGGCTTCAAGTGAGGGAGGGCCTGAGCCTCTCTTGGGGGTGTCTGCCACACCTTGGAGCTCCTGGGCCTTGGGACCCTTTGCTCAGGGAGGCTGTGGGGGTAACTCACAATCCCATTGCTCCTGGGGAGATGCATCTCCAGGGGCACTGACCTGGATTCCCAGGCTCTGTGCCCTGGCTGGGGCTCCCTGGCTGCTGCTTTGGGGAAGTCCCCACCTTGGGGTGCCACCCTGTGGTGGGCCCCAGGCAGGCCTGTGGCTGACTCAAGCATCCAAGAGTCCACTGGCCACTCCCCAGCCTACCCCATCATGAGTCTATGGGGGGCTGTCTGGTCCCCCTGCTCAGGGGGTCCCTGAGGCCCACGGGTCTAAATGTGGAGACTCTTGAAATTGGGGCTCTTGAAGTTGTGACACGCAGATGGGATGGAGGTGCAGGGAGGGCCCTGTGCCTCTCAGCTTAGTGCCCCCAACCTGGGGAGGTAGGAAAGTGGGTGGAGCCTGCCCAGCCGGGTGTGTGTGAGGGGGTTTGTGTGTGTGGACCTTCACGGTCACCTGGCTTCATTTCTCTGCTGGGGCTTCTGAGGTAGACCTCAAGACAGAGCTGAGCCCTGGCCAGGTGGCTCAGTTGGCTGGAGTGTGGTCCCACACACCAGAAGGGTGCTGGTTCGATCCCCAGTTGGGGTGGGTACCGGAGGCAGCCGACGTGTTTCTCACATTGATGTTCTCCTTTCCTCTTTAAAATCAGTAAAAACATCCTCAGGTCAGAATTAAAAAAAGAAAGTAGAAAGGACAAGCCCACCTCCTACTAGAGGGAGGGCATGGGGGCTTTTGGCGCCCATGGGGCCGACTACAGGGTGCACCCCCCACCCCCAGTAGCTGAAGAACAGAAATAAGGCTGGACAGAAAACCAACCAACCCACTGCCCACCCCTCCCCAGGGGACCAGGTCAGCACCCTGTAGCCGCTGGGCTGCTCTAGTGGGTCTGACTCGTGCAGGAGACCCTGAGATTCTGTGGACCTCAGTCTTCCCCGCAGGGTGGCCTCTGTGGAGCTGCAGGGACTTAGCCTCTCACTGTCCTGGTGACAGACCCCAGGCCGGAGGGAACCTGCTCGGCTCTTGCTTCCCCCCTGCCTGTTAATGCCTGCAACGGGGAGGCAGCCCCCGGGGCCCGGGGACCCAGATCTGGGGGCTTCCTCACTGCTAGGCGCCTGCCGCTCCCCCCTGCTGGGCCACCGGTGGTGGGGAGTGGGGCCGAAAGCCTGACAGAGCACCTCCCACAGGTTTATTTGGTTGCACATCAGCGAGTTATGCACAAAGTCAAGAAAAGTCTGGGGAGAGCAGGAAGCTGGCCTGGGAGCAGGGCAGGGTCCTGGAGCCAGCTCAGGGCTCCAGGGAGGCAGTGCAGGGCAGAGGGTGCCAGTGCAGGAGGCGGCCCCTTGGGTCACTGTTCCCCTGAAGTGGACTCTCACCGAATTGGGGGGCCAGGAAGTACAGCTTGGGTCTGCAGGAGCTCCTGGGGGTTGCAAAGGGGGGCGGGGCACAGCAGAGCAGCCAGGAAGAGGGAAGCTGGGTCTCCCCGGGCACGCAGGGTGGCGTCAGAGGTACCCTCTACGATTCTTGCCTGCTGGCCACTCCACCTCGCTGGGCTCCCTCTCTGCAGGGCCTGCTATAAAGGGGGCCTTGCAGGGAGGTGGGGGGCGGCGACCTCCTCACCGGCCCTTCCAGGGCCAGGCGGGTGAGAGGGGGCCGCAGCAGCTTTGTTAAAACCACGTGAGCCAGACTCCAAGGCAGGAAGCAGGGCAGGGCGGGCCGAGCTCCACTCCAGGGCTCTTGGTGGCCGCCCCCTCCTCAGAAGGCACCGCCGTGCTCCCTCTCGGGCTGCTCCTCCTGCTGCTTCATGGCCTCCAGGAAGGCCAGCTCCTTGGCCTCTTTCTTCTGGTTCCGGGCCTCGTACTCCAGCCTGGGGGCCAGCCGGGGGTAAGCTGTGTGTGCAGCGGGACCTCAGGACTCTGGCAGCTCCACCAGCCCAGCGGAGGCCTCACCTGTTCTTGATGATGCGCTGGACGATGAGGTCTGTGGTGAGGTCGCTCCCACTGTCGATCTGACAGAAGATGCCCCTTTTCTTGGGCTCCTGGAGGCCGGGAGAAGGGAGGAGATGAGGGACCTCCTCTGGACCCCAAGGAGACTGCCCAGCTGCCCCAGTGCAGTGGGGACAGTTACTCTACTTGTTAGCTTCCTGCCTCCTCAGACCGTGAGGCCCTCAGAGCAGCCACGGTCGCCACACCCATTTCCCAGACAGGCCCAGGGGCTCTGGCACAGCACACCCCACCTGGTATGGATCAGAGCCATCCCTGTCCGGCATGATTTCCGTCTTCCCGTGACACACCAGGTCCACCTGCAGAGGAAGCAGGGGGCAGGGGCCATGTGGGGTGGCTCCCAGCACCACCCCACATGGCCCACTGCCCCCAGGGAAGCAGCCATTGCCACTGTCCACTGCCCACTCCTGCCTCAGCCCAGCCTCCCTGGGACCCAGCCCATTGGGAGCCTCACCTTGAAGTGGTCCAGGAGCTCTGCTGTGACTGCGTAGGGGGCTCCAATCACCACTTCTGACACATACTGTGGGGACAGGGGGCACAGCTGGTGAGCCAGGACCCCACCAGGCTGAAGGGTGGTGGGAGATGGCCCTAAACGCCAGTCGAGGCTGCCAGTGGGGATGCAGGGACTCAGGGAGGCAGCATAGTGGGACCCCCTGTCGGGCCACCTCCCTGCTCTTTCAGGCCCGCCCTGCCGGCCATCACTCACCCGGCAAGCCAGCACACTCAGTGTCCGCTCATGCAGGTTCATGATGGGGTAGTTCTTTCCCTTGTAGTGGTTGACCTCCTATGGCCAGAGGGGAGGTGGGTCAACAGGTACCCTGCCAGCAGTCCCTTGTGGGGACCCAACAGTGTGGGGAGGCATAGAGGACAACCCTGCCCCAGCTCGTCTTCTCTGCCTCCATTAGCATCCAAGGCCTCCCTCCCCATGGGCTACCTGTGCCCACTCACGGGCCCCCATGACCAACTACCCGGGGCTGAGACCTGGTCAAAGTGCAAGCCAGCGATGACGTAGGGCCTCTCCACCAGGCCATGCACCTTCTCCAGGAAGTCCACGTGCCCGATGTCTGTGCCCAGGTTCAGGAACAAGTAACGGAGTAGGAGCAGCTGCCCTCACCTGCCCACCACAGTACCCCCTGCAGCCACTTCACCCCAGGGCCTCGAAAAGTCAGTGAGGGCTCTCTGGGACAGGTGTGGACATGCAGAGCCCCCTCCCCTCAGTTCCAGAGGATACGGAACAGGTCAAAGGCGCCAGCCACGTAAATGACCGTCTCCCCTGGCTGGGGCTCCTTCCCAGAAGCAAACTGAATGATTTTCTGGGATGTCTGCAGAAACTGGGACACGCCCGTCCAGGGGTTCCGCCCCCCCGGGCACTATAAGCCGAGAGGGACCTGGTCAGTGACAGAGGCCTTGCAGACATGTCCCTCACCTGCTCCCTCTCCTGAGCCTGGGGTTGCCTGCACACGCCTGCCCCGTCTGCTCTGGGAGGCACAGGTGTGGGATGGAGAGAGCAGGTGTGGGGGCTACATGTCAGGGCTCTAAACCCCAGCTGCAGCCTGCCAGCTGGCTCACTGGCTCAGGTGCTGTTTCCTGGCAGGTGTCCCCGGCAGGGACACAGAGGGCTGACCACAGTGCCTGGTACACAGCAGGGTCAGGCTGGGCGTGGCGCCTGTGGCTGGTGGGGCTGTGGCGCCACCCTGTGGCCACAGTAGGCACTGCAGCCACCACCACCTAGGTCCAGGAGGGAGGCCAGTGGACACAGCACTCCTGGGGACCCGTACCCTGAGGCCACCGCTGGTCACCTGGGAGGAGCCTTCTGAGAAAAGCATCTCCCTGACAGGTGTCAGGTGAGGGGGCTAGAAAGGGAGAGAGGGCCAGGCCACCTGGTTAGAGGCCACCTGTCCTGGGCAGTCCTTGCTCCTCCTGCAGGCAGTGCTGGTCAGCACCTGGTCAGCGCCCCGGGGCAGGAGCAGGGTGGAGGTGTGGCGCAGAGCAACACTCACCTTGCCGAAGCTGTCTGCGTACGCCCGGTACTCTGAGGACATCTCCTGCACAGAAGGGTGAGGGTTGGGGGCCTTGCCCTCCAGATGTGGTCAGCCCCAGGACACTGAAGCCTGCTGTCCAGAAGCCCACTGAAGGGCAGGGCAGGGCAGGGTGGCTGCACCTCCTTCCCTCCCAGCATTGCCCTCTACTGGGGGACCATGGAGATTCTGCCCCTACCCCAAAGACTCACTTGGCTGCTGTGATGCGCCTTGGTCACCAGCAGCATGCGGCCGACGAGGTCCGTGGTGGACACACCCTGGGTGCGCTTGCACTCTCTGAGGACAGAGGTGGCAACAAGTGGGATCGGAGCTCTTAGGTCAGCCCACCTACGGGCAACCCAGCTTCCTGGCTGTGCTGTGCACAGGCCAGCATTTTCTAGATGCTCTGGGCTGTGACAGAAACCTGGGATGTTCTGCTGTGCAATCCCAGTCTCAGTCACGGCCATGAGAAACACAGGCCGCAGCTGCATGGTTCCCCGCCTTGGAAAGGGGCCGTGGTGGGACTCACCTGTACCTCCCAGCCTGCTTCACTTCCTCATAGGTGTCCCGGCCGTCTACAGTCAGCGTGATGTCGTCTAAGAGGTGACATGCACAGGGGAATAAGGGTGGTTAACCCAAAGCCATCAAGACCTTTGGGGCTCACAACCCCCCTCCCCCACCTGCCCTCGTGGTCTGGGCTTGGTTCTGGGGAAGGATCCAGTGCTCTCAGATCTCCAAAGGGCTCAGGGCCACGCAAACTAGGAGGAGGCCAGGCATGGTCTATGACGCCTGTGATCAGAACCCGCCCTGAGCGCCCACTCACTGCCATGAACACAGAAGTCGCAGTTGTACTTGTCCAGCGTCTCCAGCGTGGTGACGTAGGGAGCCGCCGGCACCACCTCGTCCACCCACTTGATGGCCTGCACCATCTTGTATCTCTCCTCCTGCGTGAACACCGGGGGCCCCTTGTGCTTGGAGATTTCCTCTAGGGCCAGAGAAGAGGGGAGGACAGGACAGTGACCCATGGAGGGGTGGGCCACAGGCTCACCAGCTCCTCCTTGGGAGCACCCTCCCACACCCAAGCGGCCAGCAACCTGTCCTCCTTGGGCCAGCACAGCTGCTCAGGATGGTGTGCTAGAGGACTGTGTGGTCCCCTCACCCAACCAGAGTCCCAGGGAATGTTGCGGGGTTCCTCCTGATGACTGGGCAGGCATGGGGGTGGAAGTGGGCATAGCAGCCCCAGCTTACCGTCGGTGTGCACACCCACGATGAGGTAGTCCCCCATTGCCCGCGCCTGGCGCAGCTGGTTCGAGTGGCCATAATGCACCATGTCATAGCTGTGGAGAGGGCAGGGAAGTCAGTCCCTGGGCTGAGAAGGGTGGGGACTGGGTGGCCTATGGGCAGTGAGGGGGTGCAGGCTGGCTCCTCTGTGGCTTCCTTACTTAGCCCTCTGAGAACCCCCAACCACCACTGGAAACTGCTCCCTGGGGTCTGGCTGAGCCTGGGCTTTCTGAGGGGAGGTGGGTGCTCGGTTCTGCACAGCACTGGTCCCTGGGCCCAGTGCCAGATTCAGCAAGTGCCTGGCTGTGCCCAAGGACAAGGCCTGCAGGTCTTGAGGGCTGGAGAGTATACACAACGGCCCCTGCTCCCCACTCCTGGTACTGCATGGCCCGCAGGGGCCCCTCCAAAATGCAAAGCACCATGCGTGGTCCCTTTAAGCTATAGAACTCAGAGGTGGGATAAACTCTTTACTACCCTGAGACAGGTGGACAGTCTGCGGCCAACACGAAATGAACAAGGGCAGGTGCTGGGTTGGAAATCCTGGTGCTCCCACGCAGCCTCCAGAAACTCAGTGGGGCTTCACTCTCTGGGGCCAACCACCACCTACCACCCTGTCACCTGGTTCTACAGCTTTTATTCTCAAATCCAAGCCTAGTTAACAGTGAACTCTTGCCCGGCTGGCGTGGATCAGTGGTTGAGCATTGACCTGTGATCCAGGAGGTCCCGGTTGGATTCCTGGTCAGGGCACATGCCTGGGTCGTGGGCTCAATTCCCAGCAGGGGGCTTGCAGGAGGCAGCTGATCAATGACTCTCGCATCATTGGTGTCTCTCTCTCTCCCTTCCTCTCTCTGAAATCAATAAAAATATATATTTAAAAATTTAAAAAAAGAGTGACCTTTCAACGGAAGGCCACAGACAGCAATCACTGCAGGGCTGGGTTCCCACCTGCTCCCTGTGTGCTGGGGAGACCCCACAATGCTCTGCGGGCCCTGGCTGCGCCCTCAGGCTCCTCTACTCCTTCCCGCCTCAGGGGGCCCGCTGAGTGGGCGGCGCTGTCCCTGCTTCTCCAGGCCACTCAGGGGCATTCTGCTCAATGACACCTGTTACCCTCATCTCACCACAGCTGTCCCCAATAGACAAGCTGGGGGTCACAGGGCCCTGGCCATGGGTCAGGGAAGAGGGAAGTCCAAATCCAGGGGCACCCAGGCTGGACCCTGTGCACACTGGACAGCCTTGGGGTGCAGGGAATGCAGGTGGCACTGGGTCCAGGGTGTGCCCCAGTCACTGCAGCCTTGTGGATGTGGCCTGTTGGGTCAAGGGTCAGGCCTGGCGAGGGCGAAGGTCAGAGTCCACGGACGGAAGCCACTCCGCCTCGCCCTTAGGGGACGCAGATGAGGGTGTTTCGCTCCCCACGTCTGAGGAAGCATCGCAGGGGGCGAGCCTCCGGTGCCGGCGCCTCCGGGGTACGGGAACCATGAAGCCCGTCAGGGCAGACCCGCGCGGGCGGGCGGCCGGCCCGGCTGCGGCGCCGCTGGAGGGA